AATCATACCAGGTTACATACCTTGAATCATAAAAGGTTACATACCTTGAATCATAAAAGGTTACATACCTTGTCATACAAGGTTACATAACTTGAATTATACAAGGTTACATACCTTGAATCATATCAGGTTACATACCTTGAATCATAGAAGGTTACATACCTTGTATCATACAAGGTTACATACCTTGAATCATATCAGGTTACATACCTTGAAACATACAAGGTTACATACCTTGTATCATACAAGGTTACATACCTTGAATCATATCAGGTTACATACCTTGAATCATAGGTTACATACCTTGAATCATGCAAGGTTACATACCTTGAATCATAAAAGGTTACATACCTTGAATCATAAAAGGTTACATACCTTGTCATACAAGGTTACATAACTTGAATTATACAAGGTTACATACCTTGAATCATATCAGGTTACATACCTTGAATCATATCAGGTTACATACCTTGTATCATACAAGGTTACATACCTTGAATCATATCAGGTTACATACCTTGAAACATACAAGGTTACATACCTTGTATCATACAAGGTTACATACCTTGAATCATATCAGGTTACATACCTTGAATCATAGAAGGTTACATACCTTGAATCATGAAAGGTTACATACCTTGAATCATACCAGGTTACATACCTTGAATCATACAAGGTTACATACCTTGAATGATACAAAGTTACATACCTTGAATCATACAAGGTTACATACCTTGAATCATACCAGGTTACATACCTTGAATCATGCAAGGTTACATACCTTGAATGATACAAAGTTACATACCTTGAATCATACCAGGTTACATACCTTGAATGATACAAGGTTACATACCTTGAATGATACAAGGTTACATACCTTGAATCATACAAGGTTACATACCTTGAATCGTACAAGGTTACATACCTTGAATCATACAAGGTTACATACCTTGAATCATACCAGGTTACATACCTTGAATCATACCAGGTTACATACCTTGAATCATACAAGGTTACATACCTTGAATCATACAAGGTTACATACCTTGAATCATACCAGGTTACATACCTTGAATCATACAAGGTTACATACCTTGAATCATACCAGGTTACATACCTTGAATCATGCAAGGTTACATACCTTGAATGATACAAAGGTACATACCTTGAATCATACCAGGTTACATACCTTGAATGATACAAGGTTACATACCTTGAATGATACAAGGTTACATACCTTGAATGATACAAGGTTACATACCTTGAATCGTACAAGGTTACATACCTTGAATCATACAAGGTTACATACCTTGAATCATACCAGGTTACATACCTTGAATCATACAAGGTTACATACCTTGAATCATACAAGGTTACATACCTTGAATCATACCAGGTTACATACCTTGAATCATGCAAGGTTACATACCTTGAATCATACAAGGTTACATACCTTGAATCATACAAGGTTACATACCTTGAATCATACCAGGTTACATACCTTGAATCATACAAGGTTACATACCTTGAATCATACCAGGTTACATACCTTGAATCATACAAGGTTACATACCTTGAATCATACAAGGTTACATACCTTGAATCATACAAGGTTACATACCTTGAATCGTACAAGGTTACATACCTTGAATCATACAAAGTTACATACCTTGAATCATACAAGGTTACATACCTTGAATCATACCAGGTTACATACCTTGATTCATACAAGGTTACATACCTTGAATCATACCAGGCTACATACCTTGAATCATACAAGGTTACATACTTTGAATCATACAAGGTTACATACCTTGAATCATACAAGGCTACATACCTTGAATCATACCAGGTTACATACCTTTAATCATACCAGGTTACATACCTTGAATCATACAAGGTTACATACCTCGAATCATACAAGGTTACATACCTTGAATCGTACAAGGTTACATACCTTGAATCATGCAGGGTTACATGCCTTGAGTCGTACAAGGTTACATACCTTGAATCATGCAGGGTTACATGCCTTGAGTCGTTCAAGGTTACATACCTTGAATCATGCAGGGTTACATACCTTGAATCGTACAAGGTTACATACCTTGAATCATACAAGGTTACATACCTTGAATCATACAAGGTTACATACCTTGAATCATACCAGGTTACATACCTTAAATCATGCAAGGTTGCAAACCTTGAATCATACCAGGTTGCATACCTGGTATGATTCATACAAGGTTACATACCTTGAATGATACAAAGTTACATACCTTGAATGATACAAGGTTACATACCTTGAATGATACAAGGTTACATACCTTGAATGGTACAAGGTTACATACCTTGAATCATACAAGGTTACATACCTTGAATCATACAAGGTTACATACCTTGAATCATACCAGGCTACATACCTTGAATCATACAAGGTTACATACCTTGAATCATGCAAGGTTACATACCTTGAATCATGCAAGGTTACATACCTTGAATCATGCAAGGTTACATACCTTGAATCATACCAGGTTACATACCTTGAATCATATCAGGTTACATACCTTGAATCATAAAAGGTTACATACCTTGAATCATGCAAGGTTACATACCTTGAATCATACAAGGTTACATACCTTGAATCATGCAAGGTTACATAACTTGAATCATACAAGGTTACATACCTTGAATCATACAAAGTTACATACCTTGAATCATGCAAGGTTACATAACTTGAATCATGCAAGGTTACATACCTTGAATCATACAAGGTTACATACCTTGAATCATACAAGGTTACATACCTTGAATCATGCAAGGTTACATACCTTGAATCATGCAAGGTTACATACCTTGAATCATGCAAGGTTACATACCTTGAATCATACAAGGTTACATACCTTGAATGATACGTTACATACCTTGAATCATGCAAGGTTACATACCTTGAATCATACAAAGTTACATACCTTGAATCATGCAAGGTTACATACTTTGAATCATGCAAGGTTACATACCTTGAATCATACAAGTGTGAAATGAATCATACAAGGTTACATAATTTGAATCATACAAGGTTACATACCTTGAATCATACAAGGTTACATACCTTGAATCTTACAAGGTTACATACCTTGAATCTTACAAGTGTGCATTGAATCATACAAGGTTACATACCTTGAATCATACAAGGTTACATACCTTGAATCTTACAAGTGTGCATTGAATCATACAAGTGTACATTGAATCATACAAGTGTACCTTGAATCATACAAGTGTACATTGAATCATACAAGTGTGCATTGAATCATACAAGTGTACATTGAATCATACAAGTGTACATTGAATCATACAAGTGTACATGAATCATACAAGTGTACTGTGAATTATACAAGTGTACATTGATTCATACAAGTGTACATTGAATCATACAAGTGTACATTGAATCATACAAGTGTACTGTGAATTATACAAGTGTACGTTGAATCATACAAGTGTACATTGAATCATACAAGTGTACATTGAATCATACAAGTGTACATTGAATCATACAAGTGTACTGTGAATCATACAAGTGTACATTGAATAATACAAGTGTACGTTGAATCATACAAGTGTACATTGAATCATACAAGTGTACATTGAATCATACAAGTGTACATTGAATCATACAAGTGTACATTGAATCATACAAGTGTACATTGAATCATACAAGTGTACATTGAATAATACAAGTGTACGTTGAATCATACAAGTGTACTGTGAATTATACAAGTGTACGTTGAATCATACAAGTGTACATTGAATCATACAAGTGTACATTGAATCATACAAGTGTACATTGAATCATACAAGTGTACTGTGAATCATACAAGTGTACATTGAATAATACAAGTGTACGTTGAATCATACAAGTGTACATTGAATCATACAAGTGTAGATTGAATCATACAAGTGTACATTGAATCATACAAGTGTACATTGAATCATACAAGTGTACATTGAATCATACAAGTGTACATTGAATTATACCTTGAATCAAATCTAAATAAATTGGGAAGTATAAGCCATCCTTTGGATATATATTTACAGCACACGTTGATATGTACACCATACATGAATATATATATATACACCATACACAAATCACCACAAATGGCTATATATATTTTTGCTTCGTTTCAAATTCTTTCCCATTCTCAAAAATTAGGGTCGTCTTTTTTAAATATGCAATCACGTGGCTGTTTTCCATTATAATATTTCCCATTAATTATAATATTTTACATTGATTATAATATTTTCCATTAACTATAATTACCATTAATTATAATATTTGCCATTGATAATAATAACAAGACTCTGGGTTAGAGTTAACTTAGAGTTGTGAACAGAGTTCTGTTGGGGTCTGTGTGGTTGGGTTTGTATTGTTTGGGACCCGCCTTTGCTAGGCACTCCGGTTCGAGTCCCACTGTGTAATGGAGTAGTCACTGGTTTTTCACTGTTTAATGGAGTATATACTAATTGATTTTCTCTGTTTAATGGAGTATTTCACTGTTTTTCACTATTTAATGGAGTATTTCACTGTTTTTCAATATTTAATGGAGTATTTCACTGTTTTTCAATATTGAATGGAGTATTTCACTGTTTTTCAATATTTAATGGAGTATTTCATTTTTTCAATATTTTTCAGAGCGTTTTTTACATTTTTTTTCACTGAAGTGAAATTTCTCCTTTTTTTTTTTTTTTTTACAACTATGAAAATTTTCTACACTTTTTTTCACGATTTTGTATTTTTTTTCTACCTTTTCGCTGTTTTTATGTATAGATTCTATATTTTTCACAAATTAATGTATTTTCTACACTTTTTTTTCACAATCTTATTAAAATTTCTACGTCACGATTTCATATATTTCCAGTTTTTTTTTTTCACGATTTTCAACTTTTCAAAAAAAAAAAAAAACAGTTGTAATTTCCATTTTTTTTATAAACGATTTAATGTCCAGTTTTTTTTTACACATTTAAAATGTTTTTCAGTCACTGTAGGAACTTCGTATATATATTTTTTTTAAACCAGAGTGACTTAGCAAGTCTGTTGAAATCAAGTGCATGGTTCTTGCAGGAGCAAAGTGCTAAAACCGCGCGGCCCAGCACCAAGGAATGGTGCTGGAGGCTCGATCCTCCTTCCAGTAACAGCTGGACAGAGAATACTCAGTCATACTTTTTTCCACTCTAAGAGTAATTTTTTTTGAGGGGGGGGGGATTTATTTCTCCGTGTTCATGTTGCTGCTGTTATACTGTTGGTATAATTTGTTTGGCTATAATCCGCACCGTTTGGGTACATAATGTATTTAGTGTACAGGTACACACTGCCCCTACGTCTTAGTACATGTATACAGTATCTTAGTTCACAGTACTCTCCCTACACCGTAAACACACTGTACACTTTCTACACACACACTGTGTACTTAGTACACTCTCTGCACTCCAGTGCACTCTGTACTCTTAGTAACACCCTTTCTTTTTAAATCCTTGGCACTGAATTCATTTCTGGCACCGCTGGAGATTTTGATTCCACGTTTGTGTAGATTCAGTAAACATTTGTCCTCTTTGAATCGTAGAGGCAAAGCCGATGACGTATTTTCACCTGTTTTAGGCACGACACCTGTGTTTACACCTGTTCTCTAACCTGACACCGTCGCTGTGTTGAAACCTCGGCTCCCACCTGTCATTCTCCTCTTCCTTTCCTTTTCTCCTCTTGCTCTCCCGTTTTCTCTTCTTTGGTTGCTTATCCTCTTCCTATTCGCTTTTCTCCTTTTGGCGTTGTTGATGGTGGTAGTGATGGTGGTTGATGGTAGTGGTGCTGGGGATTGATGGTGGTGATGGGGAGGTTGATGGTGGTGGTGATGGGGGGTTGATGGTGGTGGTGATGGGGGGTTGATGGTGGTGATGGGATGGTTGATGGTGGTGGTGATGGGGGGGGATTGGAGATGGTGTGGGTTATGGGAATGGAACCATTGCCTGGTCTCTAATAGTATCGCAATCGGTCCCACGTGCTGGTAGAGAGCTGGTCCCACCTCAGGGAAACTGAAAAGTCCATCTTACAGGGCCAGCCCTACGTAGCCTTGAGTAGGCCTTTAAGGCGAGGAGATGCAGTAGGCTTAAGATGGAGCCTTGAAGTCCAGGCTTGAGATTTAGGCATGGAGGCTTAGAATTGTGCAGGAGAGCTATACCGGGCGTGGGCGGTGGGTGGGCGTGGGTCAGACTAAGAATCTAGAACCAGTAGAGGTCCTTACTGCCCTCCTGCGACGCCCCGGCTCCTTCCAGTCCTGTGGAATAATAAAAAAAATATTTTGTGTGTTAAAATTCATTTACACTCATTGAGACAGCGCTCTAAGTTTTATAAGAGCGGTAAATACTGACGAGGCCCTGGAGTGTGTATACTGGCACTGACAAGGCCCTGGAGTGTGTATACTGACACTGACAAGGCCCTGGAGTGTGTATACTGACACTGACAAGGCCCTGGAGTGTGTATACTGACACTGACGAGGCCCTGGAGTGTGTATACTGACACTGACGAGACCCTGGAGTGTGTATACTGACACTGACAAGGCCCTGGAGTGTGTATACTGACACTGACAAGGCCCTGGAGTGTGTATACTGACACTGACAAGGCCCTGGAGTGTGTATACTGACACTGACAAGGCCCTGGAGTGTGTATACTGACACTGACAAGGCCCTGGAGTGTGTATACTGACACTGACAAGGCCCTGGAGTGTGTATACTGACACTGACGAGACCCTGGAGTGTGTATACTGACACTGACAAGGCCCTGGAGTGTGTATACTGACACTGACGAGACCCTGGAGTGTGTATACTGGCACTGACAAGGCCCTGGAGTGTGTGTACTGGCACTGACAAGGCCCTGGAGTGTGTGTACTGGCACTGACAAGGCCCTGGAGTGTGTATACTGACACTGACAAGGCCCTGGAGTGTGTATACTGACACTGACGAGGCCCTGGAGTGTGTGTACTGGCACTGACAAGGCCCTGGAGTGTGTATACTGACACTGACGAGACCCTGGAGTGTGTATACTGACACTGACAAGGCCCTGGAGTGTGTGTACTGGCACTGACAAGGCCCTGGAGTGTGTGTACTGGCACTGACAAGGCCCTGGAGTGTGTATACTGACACTGACAAGGCCCTGGAGTGTGTATACTGACACTGACGAGGCCCTGGAGTGTGTGTACTGGCACTGACAAGGCCCTGGAGTGTGTATACTGACACTGACGAGACCCTGGAGTGTGTATACTGACACTGACAAGGCCCTGGAGTGTGTATACTGACACTGACAAGGCCCTGGAGTGTGTATACTGACACTGACAAGGCCCTGGAGCGTGTATACTGACACTGACAAGGCCCTGGAGTGTGTATACTGGCACTGACAAGGCCCTGGAGTGTGTATACTGGCACTGACAAGGCCCTGGAGTGTGTATACTGACACTGACGAGACCCTGGAGTGTGTATACTGACACTGACAAGGCCCTGGAGTGTGTATACTGACACTGACTAGGCCCTGGAGTGTGTATACTGACACTGACTAGGCCCTGGAGTGTGTATACTGACACTGACAAGGCCCTGGAGCGTGTATACTGGCACTGACAAGGCCCTGGAGTGTGTATATTGACACTGACAAGGCCCTGGAGTGTGTATACTGGTACTGACGAGGCCCTGGAGTGTGTATACTGGCACTGACAAGGCCCTGGAGTGTGTATACTGACACTGACGAGACCCTGGAGTGTGTATACTGACACTGACAAGGCCCTGGAGTGTGTATAATGACACTGACAAGGCCCTGGAGTGTGTATACTGACACTGACAAGGCCCTGGAGCGTGTATACTGGCACTGACAAGGTCCTGGAGTGTGTATACTGACACTGACGAGGCCCTGGAGTGTGTATACTGGCACTGACGAGGCCCTGGAGTGTGTATACTGACACTGACGAGGCCCTGGAGTGTGTATACTGGCACTGACGAGGCCCTGGAGTGTGTATACTGACACTGACAAGGCCCTGGAGTGTGTATACTGACACTGACGAGGCCCTGGAGTGTGTATACTGACACTGACAAGGCCCTGGAGTGTGTATACTGGCACTGACGAGGCCCTGGAGTGTGTATACTGGCACTGACGAGGCCCTGGAGTGTGTGTACTGGCACTGACGAGGCCCTGGAGTGTGTATACTGACACTGACAAGGCCCTGGAGTGTGTGTACTGACACTGATGAGGCCGTGGAGTGTGTATACTGAAACTGGCGAGGCCCTGAAGAGTGTATACCGACACTGACGAGGCCCTGGAGTGTGTACTGACACTGACGAGGCCGTGGAGTGTGTATACTGACACTGACGAGGCCCTGGAGTGTGTATACTGACACTGACGAGGCCCTGGAGTGTGTATACTGACACTGACGAGGCCCTGTAGTGTGTCTACTAACACTGACGACGCCGTGGACTGTGTATACTGAAACTGACGAGGCCCTGAAGAGTGTATACTGACACTGACGAGGCCCTGGAGTGTGTACTGACACTGACGAGACCCTGGAGTGTGTACTGACACTGACGAGGCCCTGGAGTGTGTGTACTGACACTGACGAGGCCGTGGAGTGTGTATACTGAAACTGACGAGGCCCTGAAGAGTGTATACTGACACTGACGAGGTCCTGGAGTGTGTGTACTGACACTGACGAGGCCCTGGAGTGTGTGTACTGACACTGACGAGGCCCTGGAGTGTGTATACTGGCACTGACGAGGTCCTGGGGTGTGTGCACTGACACTGACGAGGCCCTGGAGTGTGTATACTGACACTGAAGAGTTCCTGGAGTGTATACTGACACTGACGAGGCCCTGGAGTGTGTACTGACACTGACGAGGCCCTTAAGCTTGCATACTGACAGCAACAAGGCCCTGAAGTATGCATAGTGACAGCGCCAATACCCTGAAGTGTGCATACTGACAGCAACAAGGCCCAGAAGTGGGCATACTGACAACAGGAAGGCCTGGAATATGCATGCAAAAGGATCTGGAGCGTGCATGAGAGCATGACCCTGGAGTGTGCTTATTGACAGCAACAAGGCCCTGGAGTGTGCATATTTTTGCAGCAACAAGACCCTAGAGTGTGCATACTGAGAGCAGCAAGGCCCTGGAGTGCGCATAACGACACAGGGGAGAAAGGCTGGCCGTGGGAAGAGCCTCCCTGACGACACTAGACGCCCCACGACGACCATTAGATCTACGGATAACGACTGACGACCAGGAGATAACCGATAACTTTGATGTCCACTGTTATCCCAGGACCACCCGCCTTGTTTCTGGGGATCACTGACGCAGATAACAATAATCTGAAGGCCGTCAGTGCTGGCCATTACTGGAGTGTCTCTCCTCTCTTATGACTAGAGTTCGAGACCTTCACCCTTCACGTTGACATATGTTGATGCTGGTGAAGGGCTGTCCATCTGTAGCATGGGAGTTAGCCTGCCCCTTCCTCGGATCGAGCCTGATCACTGCCCCATTCCCAATGTCATGTGTTACCCATAAAGGTTAAGCGTTTCCCCGTGAATATAATAATTTAAACATTTTAGTTCATTGTCTTTGTGTGTGTGTGTGTGTGTGTGTGTGTGTGTGAGAGAGAGAGAGAGAGAGAGAGAGAGAACATATTCGTACAACATAATGATATCAAGGAAATAAAGTCAGTTGAACAAATGAAATCGTTGGCTCACAGATAACTCTAACTTATCCTGTCCCATATCTGTAAGTTTCATAATAAAGAAGCTTTCAAATAAGCTGATGTAGGTAACAGCTCTTAGCTTGTAAATAAAGTTAGGAATCCTTACCCTAACCTTGTAAAATCTTGTGTAGAGAGAGAGAGAGAGAGAGAGAGAGAGAGAGACGGGGGAATATCTCCACAATATTACCATCAATATTGCCGGCGTGGGCGTAATAGGCAAGACACCTCTCCCAAATGTATGTTTATTGCATTCCGCGATGTTAATCTTACAGGGCTCTCACTCAAAATGAGATTATGTGGAGTGGGATGGTCCCATCACGTTGATTCCATCAACCTAGTAGCCTAGCCTTTGTTTACTGTGTTCGCAGCCTTACATTTTGTCTTCCCCCATAGGTACTATATATTATAAGTGCTTTTTCTTATTTCAGAATACACTTTATGGATTTAAAGCAATTAGGGAATAAATGATTTGCTGTTTGTTGACGGGATGGTGGGAATATATTTTGAAAAGGTACGAAGTTGAGTGGAAGTCCGAGGGTGAGGGTGGAGTTCCGGACCATTATTGACGTCACTTCCCCTCGTCCCCGCAGCCGATATTGTCCTCGACCCAACCACGTGTCCTGATGTGTCCTCGTGACTTCGGCTGCCTGTGAGCTGGACATTTTTACTTCTACTTTTGGGCAATTGACCTTTGACCTCTCTTATAATGACCTTAAAGTCTAACAAGCGTACACAGAAACTTTCAGGGTAAAACGACACATACTAGAATCCAAACCCTCTTATTACATTTACGAGGAAACGCTAAACCCGTAGGGAAATGACAGGCATTTAGGTTTGAGCCTAGAAAGGAGAGGACAGCTGTAATTGTTCGAGACAGTTGAAAGAAATAATTTTCTTTTTTTTTGCAATCGTTTGTAAGGTAATCAACAAGGGGAAGATGCCAGTGTCAGTATATGTATACAAACCCACAAGAAGATGCAGACAGCATTCTGGGTGTGTTAATGACCAGTGACCGTCAGCGTTTACTGTTCACTGTCACAACGCTGACATAATACTGAAGTGATTTGTTATTATTTATAAAGATTGTTATTGTTTGCCTGGATTATTATTATTACTATTATTATGGTATATTTAAAAGCAAGTGCTAAGCCTGTATGGGTCATACAGCAAAGGTCTCTCTCTCTCTCTCTCTCTCTCTCTCTCTCTCATATATATATATATATATATATATATATATATATATATATATATATATATATATATATATATATATATATATATATATATATATATATAAAGTATCAGGGAAGAGAGAGGTGAAGGTTTATAAACTAAAAGAGGAGGCAGTTAGGGTAAGATATAAACAGCTATTGGAGGATAGATGGGCTAATGAGAGCATAGGCAATGGGGTCGAAGAGGTATGGGGTAGGTTTAAAAATGTAGTGTTAGAGTGTTCAGCAGAAGTTTGTGGTTACAAGAAAGTGGGTGCGGGAGGGAAGAGGAGCGATTGGTGGAATGATGATGTAAAGAGAGTAGTAAGGGAGAAAAAGTTAGCATATGAGAAGTTTTTACAAAGTAGAAGTGATGCAAGGAGGGGAGAGTATATGGAGAAAAAGAGAGAGGTTAAGAGAGTGGTGAAGCAATGTAAAAAGAGAGAAAATGAGAGAGTGGGTGAGATGTTATCAACAAATTTTGTTGAAAATAAGAAAAAGTTTTAGAGTGAGATTAACAAGTTAAGAAAGCCTAGAGAACAAATGGATTTGTCAGTTAAAAATAGGAGAGGAGAGTTATTAAATGGAGAGTTACAGGTATTGGGAAGATGGAGGGAATATTTTGAGGAATTGTTAAATGTTGATGAAGATAGGGAAGCTGTGATTTCGTGTATAGGACAAGGAGGAATAACATCTTGTAGGAGTGAGGAAGAGCCAGTTGTGAGTGTGGGGGAAGTTCGTGAGGCAGTAGGTAAAATGAAAGGGGGTAAGGCAGCCGGGATTGATTTGATAAAGATAGAAATGTTAAAAGCAGGTGGGGATATAGTTTTGGAGTGGTTGGTGCAATTATTTAATAAATGTATGGAAGAGGGTAAGGTACCTAGGGATTGGCAGAGAGCATGCATAGTTCCTTTGTATAAAGGCAAAGGGGATAAAAGAGAGTGCAAAAATTATAGGGGGATAAGTCTGCTGAGTATACCTGGTAAAGTGTATGGTAGAGTTATTATAGAAAGAATTAAGAGTAAGACGGAGAATAGGATAGCAGATGAACAAGGAGGCTTTAGGAAAGGTAGGGGGTGTGTGGACCAGGTGTTTACAGTGAAACATATAATGAACAGTATTTAGATAAGGCTAAAGAGGTCTTTGTGGCATTTATGGATTTGGAAAAGGCGTATGACAGGGTGGATAGGGGGGCAATGTGGCAGATGTTGCAAGTGTATGGTGTAGGAGGTAGGTTACTGAAAGCAGTGAAGAGTTTTTACGAGGATAGTGAGGCTCAAGTTAGAGTATGTAGGAAAGAGGGAAATTTTTCCCAGTAAAAGTAGGCCTTAGACAAGGATGTGTGATGTCACCGTGGTTGTTTAATATATTTATAGATGGGGTTGTAAGAGAAGTAAATGCGAGGGTCTTGGCAAGAGGCGTGGAGTTAAAAGATAAAGAATCACACACAAAGTGGGAGTTGTCACAGCTGCTCTTTGCTGATGACACTGTGCTCTTGGGAGATTCTGAAGAGAAGTTGCAGAGATTGGTGGATGAATTTGGTAGGGTGTGCAAAAGAAGAAAATTAAAGGTGAATACAGGAAAGAGTAAGGTTATGAGGATAAAAATATTAGGTGACGAAAGATTGAATATCAGATTGGAGGGAGAGAGTATGGAGGAGGTGAATGTATTCAGATATTTGGGAGTGGACGTGTCAGCGGATGGGTCTATGAAAGATGAGGTGAATCATAGAATTGATGAGGGGAAAAGAGTGAGTGGTGCACTTAGGAGTCTGTGGAGACAAAGAACTTTGTCCTTGGAGGCAAAGAGGGGAATGTATGAGAGTATAGTTTTACCAATGCTCTTATATGGGTGTGAAGCATGGGTGATGAATGTTGCAGCGAGGAGAAGGCTGGAGGCAGTGGAGATGTCATGTCTGAGGGCAATGTGTGGTGTGAATATAATGCAGAGAATTCGTAGTTTGGAAGTTAGGAGGAGGTGCGGGATTACCAAAACTGTTGTCCAGAGGGCTGAGGAGGTTCGGACATGTAGAGAGAATGGAGCGAAACAGAATAACTTCAAGAGTGTATCAGTCTGTAGTGGAAGGAAGGCGGGGTAGGGGTCGGCCTAGGAAAGGTTGGAGAGAGGGGGTAAAGGAGGTTTTGTGTGCGAGGGGCTTGGACTTCCAGCAGGCATGCGTGAGCGTGTTTGATAGGAGTGAATGGAGACAAATGGTTTTTAATACTTGACGTGCTGTTGGAGTGTGAGCAAAGTAACATTTATGAAGGGGTTCAGGGAAACCGGCAGGCCGGACTTGAGTCCTGGAGATGGGAAGTACAGTGCCTGCACTCTGAAGGAGGGGTGTTAATGTTGCAGTTTAAAAACTGTAGTGTAAAGCACCCTTCTGGCAAGACAGTGATGGAGTGAATGATGGTGAAAGTTTTTCTTTTTCGGGCCACCCTGCCTTGGTGGGAATCGGCCAGTGTGATAATAATAAAAAAAATAATATATAATATATATATATATATATATATATTATATTATATATATATATATATATATATATATATGTATGTATGTATGCAACAGTGTAAGTAAACTTTGAGAAATCGGTGACCAGCGCATTACACTGAGCCGAAGTCGGCGTCAGGAGGCTGGCGAGCGGGTCCGGACGCCGCCTCTTGATCGAGACAATTAAATGCAATAACGCAGCCAACAACCATTTAATCATGTTGCCCCGCCTTCCCCTTGTTTCCCCTCACCTCCCAGTCCCTCTCTCTCTCTCTCTCTCTGACCCCTCAAGGAAGGTTCCTTGATGTTGGTGAGGGGCTCTTGATTTAGAGAATTGGATCTGTGCTCCAGTTCCCCGAATTAAGCCTGAATGCCTTCCACATCCCCCCCCCAGGCGCTGTATAATCCTCCGGGTTTAGCGCTTCCCCCTTGATTATAATAATAATAATAATAATCTCTCTCTCTCTCTCTCTCTCTCTCTCGTCGTATACGACCTTGAACAACCTGTTAATCAAACTACCATAGCAAGCCCTTTCAAGGGGCAGTTAGGGGTCTTGTAGCCGGTGAAGGGCTCTTGATCCGAGGAATCATAGGTACGCTCCCTTCCTTTCATCAGATCATATCTGGACCTGCCTCGCATGGGCCAGTAGGCCCATGCGAGGCGTGGTCCCTCATTACACACCTCTCTATGACACTTTACTTGAAAAAAATGATTCCCTATAATAATAATAATAACAACAGGTTAAGATGACCTGGACTGACCTGTCATGGAGGAGAAGTGGTGAGTGTAGGCAGCCGTTGGGTCAAAGGTCATGTCATCATGAAGACGAGGGGCAGCACCCCAGGGGTCAGCCTTGCCCACCACACACTGGGGCAGGCGTGGGCGACCCATTAAGAGGGATGAGTAGTTGTGTGGGTACCTGTTGAAAAAAATCATTTGCAAGTCATATATATATATATATATATATATATATATATATATATATATATATATATATATATATATATATATATATATATATATATATATATAGATATATATATATATAGTTATATATATATATATATATATATATATATATAGTTATATATATATATATATATAATATATATATATATATATATATATATATATATATATAGTTATATATATAAATATATATATATAAATATATATATATATAAATATATAATGTATATATATATATAAATATATATATATATATATATATATATATATATATATATATATATATATATATATATATATATATATATAATGTCGTGCCGAATAGGCAGAACTTGCGGTCTTGGCTTAAATAGCAACGTTCATCTTGCCATATAGGACAAGTGAAAATTTGTGTATGCAATAATTTCGCCCAAATCATTCTGAACCTAACGAAAAAAATATATTTCACTGTGTTTGTTTATTATTAAATTATTGTAAACAAATCTAAAATATATTTAGTTGGGTTAGGCTAAAATAAATTTTTCTTGTTATAATAAGGTTAGGTAAGTTTTCTAAGTTACTTTTGGAGCAAAATTAAATTTTTTTACATTAACATTAATGAAAAAAAATATATCTTTAAACGTATAAGAGAAACTTTTAGAAAGGACTTAATTTTAAATGAGTTCTTGCTAATTGACCAGTTTTACATATTCGGCACGACATATAATTTTATTATTATATATATATATATATATATATATATATATATATATATATATAATATAATATATTATATATATATATATATATATATATATACGTATATATATATGTGTCTGTGTGTGTATACATATAATATGCACGCACATTTTTTTGGAAATTTCAGACGGGATGTAAATATGTCGTCTTTGTTCTTGCCATTAATATCTAAAGAAAGCAAATACCACATTCCTTGATCATCTGATGAAGTGATCAATTTTCACGAAAGGTCTCCATTTTTTTTTTCTGCAAGTCCGGTTAACCAGAATTACATTCTTACATTCTGACAGCACGTCGAACCTCTTCCCCCCCCCCAAGGCCACTCGCCTCCACTCTGATCTAACACACTCGCATGCTTGATATATTAATCTCAGTGAATATATTCTGCTCCATTCTTTCTCCATGGCCAAACCATCTCAATTTTTTTTTTCACTTTGAGTTACGTGTTTCACAACTTAGTCTCTTCTAGTTTCACCTACACACCATCTTCTGACTTCTTCTGCACACCACCACATCATTTTCCAATTTCAGCTGCACACCATCTTCTAATTTTACAAATTCACTATCTTCTAATTTTAGAAACACACCACGACCACACCATCTTCCAATATGCACCTTCACAATATTTAATTCCACCTACACAGCCTTGTCCAATTTTCTACGTTAACCTACACCTTCCCCCTTCCTCCAAACATTTTCTAAGTTAGGTAAAAGAACATGTGCAACTTGCATTTTCTAAGCAGTTCTAGAGAGCAGTATCAATGTGACTTCGGACTCTTCTTCACTCGCTCACATGTTCTTAGACAAGTTCCGGGGAAGGGGTTATTGCATTTTTTCTTCCCCTAGTGGTAAACACGCCATTGGGTGACTTCCATCCTGGAGGAACACAACTTGTTGTGGCGTCGGGATCCCGGAGACTTTCCCGACCACACGGCCGGATCCCGACGTCCATTTAGCTGGTCATCCGGTATGTTATCTTGGAAGGCCGGAGATTCAAACCCGCTTTTTTTTTTCTTGATATCCGTGACGCTTTATGTTACCATCTCATGATTGGCTATAAATATTTTATTGCATGATGCCTGGCACAGGGCAGGATGTGAGGCTATGTAGGTTCTGGCTACTTTACTGATCACAGGTCTACAAGGCAGAAGGAAGGCTGGGAATATTTGCAGTTTGGAGGAGCATCTCAAGTGTGGTATCAGCGCGCCTCTGGTAAGACAGTTGTAGTGTGATTTATGGTGAAAGTGTTTCTTCTATTTCGGATCACTCTACCTTGTTTAATATACACAAGCATATATTACATACATGTGCAACAACTTGGTATCTTTATTAAGTAGACGTTTCGCCCACCAGTGGCTTCATCAATACATTACCGACAAATTGAGGAGTAAGACACAAGTGAATCACCTCTCCTCTTATACTGTCTCCGGGTTTTGTACTCGCCTCTTTATTCCACTGATAAGCCTGCCACGCAGGCGAAACATTTCGTCTAAAAGATACCTCAGGCTTGTAGAGTCAGGGAAAACAGGAACCATCACTCAAACTTGTATCATTCTCCCCAACATCAGAGCAGCTGAGAACATGTAATAAGGTGTTCTCGGTGCTATGTAACCACAAAGTGACTTAACCACAACCAGAACAGCCAGTCTTGAAAGCAATGACAACGCTGTTTATATTCAGAATAACACGACTGCAAACAACCCACGGAATGGATAGGGTTAGAACCCATGGCGAGTGAATCTTAAAAGTCCAGGCCAGTGCGAAGCCACCGGGCCAGCTGGCTACAATAAGATTCATCCAGTGGTAGCCCATGCTAACCTCCCTATGATGTATAAATATACCTAGATGAATGAATCTTATTGTAGCCAGCTGGCCCAGTGGTTTACGCACTGGCCTGGAGTTTAACAGCTCACTCGCCATGGGTTCTAACCCCACCCGTTCCTTGGTTGTTTATATTATTTCCTGAGTTGGTTGCCAGAACTCATACGGTTTCCAAGCTTCAAGGAATTTTTAAACATACATTTAAGAACATAAATATGCTCATAAAAATTTGACTTTTCCCAATATTTTTTACTAACTAATAGACATATTTTTTCACTGAGAATAAGGTAGACATTTATATTTTTTGACCTAACCTAACCTAACCTAACCTAACCTAACTTAACCTAACCTAACCTAACCTAGCCTAACCTAACCTAACCTAACTTAACCTAATTTAACCTAACCTAACCCAACTTAACCTAACCTAACCTAACCTAGCCTAACCTAACCTAACCTAACTTAACCTAATTTAACCTAACCTAACCTAACCTAACTTAACCTAATTTAACCTAACCTAACCTAACCTAACCTAACCTAACCTAACCTAACTTAACCTAATTTAACCTAACCTAACCTAACCTAACCTAACTTAACCTAACTTAAAAATCTCACCTAAACTAACATAACTTTTTTTCAGCGAAATTCTACTAAATATATAAATCAATTTAAATTGATTTAATATTAAAATCAATGAGATAAATTTGCATATATATATATAATATATATATATATATATATATATATATATATATAATATATATATATATATATATATGGTAAGGCAATGCATACATTGTGCTGTCTCAGGAGGCGGTATAAGGTTCGTAGGGTCGAGTCCTGGCCTGCCGCAGTTTCGTGATTTATATATATATATATATATATATATATATATATATTATATATATATATATATATATATATATATATATAATATATATAATATATATATATATATATATATATATATATATAATATATATATATAATATATATATAATATATTATAATTTATATACACATGTAATATGCATGCAAAACAACTACTGGGGAGTTGAATGATAGCTCTCTAGGCCTTTCATGTTTGAATCAACATATCAGGAGCTTGCAGTGTTATAGGAAAGAGGATAAAGTCCCAGCAAATACGTCCAGAGGGAGTGTTTTTGTACCGGGATCGAACCCAGCTCACTGAAATGCGAGGCAAAGTTGCTAGCAGTGAACCACGAACCACCACCACCTGTCCCCTCCTCCCTGACCTTGTATGAACTTTACTAGTCTGATGCTTCTCCACGATTATAATAACATTAAACAGGATTTGTTGTGTATATCTGAGTGGCTTCATGAGTGGAAGTGTCACATTTGAGTGGTTACAACACTGGATAAGCCTGTATGAGGCAGCGCCATCTATTATGTACTAGGAAGATAATGTGCGCCTCAAGACGGAGCTGTAACAAAGGCGAATAAATATTTCAGAAGCAAGTGCAACTAATGCGACATTTTACTGTTGCAATGTTTCGCTCTCCAGGAGCTTTGTCAAATTGTTGCACGCAATACATGGACACAGAGAGTATATAGAGGTATTAGAGTGACTTGTAAATCATAACATGTCACATTAGTTGCACTTGTGTCTTTTTATTTAACGTATTGTCGGTAATTATGTCGATATAATACTATTTCAAAAGCGCTGTAGGTTCGGTTATTATTATAATCAAGGGGAAGCGCTAAACCCGTAGGATTATAAGCGCCTGGGGGGGGGATGTGGAAGGCATTCAGGCTTAATTCGGGGAACTGGAGCACAGATCCAATTCCCTAAATCAAGAGCCCTTCACCAACATCAAGGAACCTTCTCTGAGGGGCTGTAGGTTCGAACGTACGAACTCAGATAAGGAAACAGTCTCGTCCCGGCTATAGCTTTAGCAAGGGCGAAACGATGGCGAGTCTCGCTCACTAGATGCTGGTTACATCACAAGCAACTGAAGTCTCCGACGGAAATAAATCCGATGAACACGATGCAATATTGACATGTATATTATGGGCCGCATGTGAGGGTTTGTTTGGTAAACACACGACTGGACCTTCATGGTGCGGTCATCACAGGGATTTTTGGAAACTGAATAATTGCCCTGTAGGAGACAAATATTTTGTTATATTTCTTGGTGAGCGTTAAACCCTCAGAGAGCATATAGTGGCTGTGGGATGGGACTTAGCGAGATTTGATTTGCACTGAAGAGGGACCTTGAAGAAGCAATCAGATTTCGAGAGACCTGAGTGGGAACCAGCGATCTCTGAACTACCTGTCTGAAGGCACTGGAAACGTACCTTGAAGAAGCAATTAGATCTTGTGAGACCTGAGTGGGAACCAGCGATCTCTGAACTACCTATCTGAAGGAAATAATCAGATCTCTTGAGACCTGAATGAACAAGCGATCTTTGAACTATCTGAAGGAGATATTCTGAAGCAATCAGATATAGTTAAACCTGTGCGGGAACAATCAATCTTCGTGCTACTAACCTGAACGAGATATGCTGAAGAGATAGACCTCACACCTTTAGATACCTTAAAACACATCTCGAGAGAGCACTCAAGAAACTCGTCGAAGGGACGAGACTTCGAAGGACGTACCTGGAGGAGGATGGCATATAGGTGAAGTCAGCAACAGAGCGGTGGTGTGGGTACTGCCCTGCCGTGGTGAAGTTGTAGGTCCAAGGGTCGCTCTGGTGGAGGCCGTGAAGGCTTGAATAGTCAGGGTACAGTGTTTCGTGTCCTGTCAGACCCATCGAACTGCCCGCCGCTGGGTACCCAGACATTCCAGCGTGATAGTGGCTGTTCCAGAACGACGCGGGGAGGTTGCGCTGCGACATGGGGCACGGATCTGTGGCGAACATGGGTAGGTCAGGTCATGGCAGGTCAAACATGGTCATGGAGCTCCATTACCGGATTTTTAGAATGACGAGTAACAGAACAGGCCAAGCCGATATTAAGACAACATTTCGCTCAAGTTAGCTCTGAGCGAAAGGTTGACTTAATAAACTGCTGAGCAAATATGTAACCAAGACACAAATATTAATAATGGATTCAAGTTTAATAAACTGAGATTTATCAAACTGATTTAGCAGTAATAAATAATTTGAAGCGAGTATAAATTATATGGCTTTGTAAAACTACACGTAGTTATTCTCCAAGTGGCCATTATTATGTAGGATACTGCACTCTTGTTATATATTTGTAATGTGGAGTGTTTGTTGTGTTGTGAAGGTCCACTTACCTACTGACACTATTTTTATACATCTTCACTACACTACAAACATTCCAGAGTACAAATCTATTGCAGCAATGCAGTATTCTGCATAATACCCATCGACCTGAGTAACTTTCGAAATACTTTCTGGTCTGGGACCGGGCCGCGGGGGGCCGACCACCTCGGGTAAATGCAGGTTAACTAGTCTGCAGTGATGATGTGGGGTATTGTCCAGAAAGTTGAGTAATGGTTGTTGAGGGGGTTTGGACATTTAGAGAGGATAAAGAAGAATAGGATGACTTAGAGGGTATATAAATAGGAGGCAAGGCGGGGTAAGGGCCGTCCTAGGAAAGGTTGGAGGGAGGGAGGGATAAGTGGTTTTGTATGTGACGGGCTTAGACATCCAGCAGGCATGTGTGAGCGTGTTAGGAGTAGAGGCAAGTGATTTTTTATGACCGGTGTTGCAGTGCGATTCAGGGAAACCAGCTAGCCGGACTTGAGTCCTGGAGGTGGAAAGTACAGTGCCTGTACTCTGAAGGAAGGGTGAGGATATTTACAATTTGGAGGAGCATCTCAAGTGTGTTATCAGCGCGTCTCTGTAAGACAGCTGTAGTGTGAGTTATGATGAAAGTGTTTCTTCTATTTCGGATCACCCTACCCTGTTTAATATACACAAGCATATATTACATGTGCAACAACTGGGTATCTTTATTAAGTAGACGTTTCGCCCACCAGTGGCTTCATCATTACAGTACAAGGACAAAACTAATGACAATGCCTTCCCGGGGCCCAAGACTGTTCAACAGCCTCCCACCAGCCATAAAAGCATTACCAGTAGACCCCTGGTTGTCTTCAAGAAGGAGCTGGACAGATACCTAAAGTCAGTACTCGATAAGCCGGGCTGTGGTTCGTATTTTGGACTACGTGCGGCCAGCAGTAACAGCCTGGTTGATTAGGCCCTGATCCAACGGGAGGCCTGGTCAAGGCCTGGGTCGCGGGGGCGTTCACCCCCAGAACACCCTCTAGGTACATAGAATTGCCGCATCTCATCCGACTCCAGTATATAAGCTCACTTCCTCCAACCTGTGTTTAAGATTTGTCAAGACAGAGGTACTGACACCTGCTAGACTGAGGTACTGACACCTGCTAGACTGAGGTACTGAGCACCTACTAGACTGAGGTACTGAGCACCTGCTAGACTGAGGTACTGAACACCTGCTAGACTGAGGTACTGACACCTGCTAGACTGAGGTACTGACACGTACTAGACTGAGGTAATGAGCACCTGCTAGACTGAGGTACTGAACACCTGCTAGACTGAGGTACTGACACCTGCTAGACTGAGGTAATGAGCACCTGCTAGACTGAGGTACTGAACACCTGCTAGACTGAGGTACTGAACACCTGCTAGACTGAGGTACTGAACACCTGCTAGACTGAGGTACTGAACACCTGCTAGACTGAGGTACTGAACACCTGCTAGACTGAGGTACTGAGCACCTGCTAAACTGAGGTAATGAGCACCTGCTAGACTGAGGTGCTGAACACCTGCTAGACTGAGGGACTGAACACCTGCTTGACTGAGGTACTGAGCACCTGCTAGACTGAGGTACTGAACACCTGCTAGACTGAGGTACTGACACCTGCTAGACTGAGGTACTGACACGTACTAGACTGAGGTAATGAGCACCTGCTAGACTGAGGTACTGAACACCTGCTAGACTGAGGTACTGAACACCTGCTAGACTGAGGTACTGAACACCTGCTAGACTGAGGTACTGAACACCTGCTAGACTGAGGTACTGAGCACCTGCTAGACTGAGGTAATGAGCACCTGCTAGACTGAGGTGCTGAACACCTGCTAGACTGAGGAATTGAACACCTGCTTGACTGAGGTACTGAGCACCTGCTAGACTGAGGTACTGAGCACCTGCTAGACTGAGTTACTGAACACCTGCTTGACTGAGGTACTGAGCACCTGCTAGACTGAGGTACGGAACACCTGCTAGACTGAGGTACTGAGCACCTGCTAGACTGAGGTGCTCAACACCTGCTACACTGAGTTACTGATCACCTGCTAGATGATGATACTGAACACCTGCTAGACGATGGTACTGAACACCTGCTAGACTATGGTACTGAACACCTGCTTGACTGTGGTACTGAACACCTGCTTGACTGTGGTACTGAACACCTGCCAGACTGAGGTACTGAGCACCTGCTAGACTGAGTTACTGAACATCTGCTAGACTGAGGTACTGAACACCTGCTAGACTGAGGTACTGAACACCTGCTAGACTGAAGTACTGAGCACCTGCTAGACTAAGGTACTGGGCACCTGCTAGACTGAGGTACGGAACACCTGCTAGACTGAGGTACGGAACACCAGCTAGACTTAGGTATGGAACACCTGCTAGACTGAGGTACGGAACACCTGCTAGACTGAGGTACTGAACACCTGCTAGACTGAGGTACTGAACACCTGCTAGACTGAGTTACTGAACACCTGCTAGACTGAGTTACTGAGCACCTGCTAGACTGAGGTGCTCAACACCTGCTAGACTGAGTTACTGAGCACCTGCTAAACTGAGGGACTGAACACCTAGTAGACTGAGGTACTGAACACCTGCTAGACTGAGGTACTGAGCACCTGCTAGACGATGGTACTGAACACCTGCTAGACGATGGTACTGAACACCTACTAGACTGAGGTACTGAACACCTGCTTGACTGAGGTACTGAGCACCTGCTAGACGATGGTACTGAACCCCTACTAGACTGAGGTACTGAACACCTGCTCGACTGAGGTACTGAACACCTGCTAGACTGAGGTACTGAACACCTGCTAGACTGAGGGACTGAACACCTGCTAGACTGAGGTACTGAACAACTGCTAGACTGAGGCACTGAACACCTGCTAGACTGAGGGACTGATTGCCTCATCTCCTACCTCTCGGCTATCTGTCTCTGTATTGTACTGATAAAGCCACTGGTGGACGAAACTAATGAAGATACCCAGTTGTACATGTGTCTAATTATTCAACTTGTCGGTATTATATACCATTGTTGTTCCGATACTGTGACGCTACAATGGCTTGAGCGTGGAGGTAATTAAGAAGTTACAAGCTTCTGTAGTAGTTAAGTGCAGCAAGTTACTTAAGTGGAAGTACAGCGAAGTTATTAACAAATATAGATAGACAGGCAGGTACAGGCAAACAGACAGGCAGACAATCTCTCATTTAGATGGACAGGAAGAAGAGCAGGTGCCACTGATGAGATGATCTTCCTGGTGGTAATAACAAGGCGCGGGTGCCGCAGTCGCCACTTAAACTGCCGCAAACGTCACCACAGTCAGGCATTAGAAACAATTTAAAAATATAATGTGATTGTGGGTGGTTAGGGTGGTGGTGGGTGGTTAGAGGGATAGCGGGTAGTCCGGGTGGTGGTGGGTGGTAGTTTAATAACCACAAAGGGCGGAAGGTGAACTGTGTGTGTGTGTGTGTGTGTGTGTCGTGCCAAATAGGTAAAACTTGCGATTTTGGCCTAATAGCAACGCTCTTCTTGCCGAATAAGACAAGCGAAAAAACGAAACGAAAAAAATATATTTCATTGTGTTCGTTTATTATTAAATTATTGTAAACTTATCTAAAATATTTTAGCTGGATTAGGCTAAATTAAGTTGCGCTTGTTATAATAAGGTTAGGTAAGTTTTCTAAGGTTCTTTTGGTACAATATTATTAATTTTTACATTAACATAAATGAAAAAAAATGTTACTTTAAACGAATAAGAGAAAATTTTAGAAAGGACTGAATTTTAAGTGAGTTCTTGCTAATTGACCAGTTTTAACCTATTTGACACGACATTATATAATATATATATATATATATATATATATATATTATATATATAATATATATATATTATATATATATATTAAATGGAGAGTTAAAGGTATTGGGAAGATGGAGGGAATATTTTGAGGAATTGTTAAATGTTGATGAAGATAGGGAAGCTGTGATTTCGTGTGTAGGACAAGGAGGAACAACATCTTGTAGGAGTGAGGAAGAGCCAGTTGTGAGTGTGGGGGAAGTTCGTGAGGCAGTGGGTAAAATGAAAGGGGGTAAGGCAGCCGGGATTGATGGGATAAAGATAGAAATGTTAAAATCAGGTGGGGATATAGTTTTGGAGTGGTTGGTGCAATTATTTAATAAATGTATGGAAGAGGGTAAGGTACCTAGGGATTGGCAGAGAGCATGCTTAGTTCCTTTGTATAAAGGTAAAGGGGATAAAAGAGAGTGCAAAAATTATAGGGGAATAAGTCTGTTGAGTATACCTGGCAAAGTGTATGGTAGAGTTATTATTGAGAGAATTAAGAGTAAGGCGGAGAATAGGATAGCAGATGAACAAGGAGGCTTTAGGAAAGGTAGGGGGTGTGTGGACCAGGTGTTTACAGTGAAACATATAAGTGAACAGTATTTAGATAAGGCTAAAGAGGTCTTTGTGGCATTTATGGATTTGGAAAAGGCGTATGACAGGGTGGATAGGGGAGCAATGTGGCAGATGTTGCAGGTGTATGGTGTAGGAGGTACGTTACTGAAAGCAGTGAAGAGTTTTTACGAGGATAGTGAGGCTC